CTTGAAATTGTCAAATTTCTGTTTGCTTTTATTCAATCATGCATGTGATTATGTGGAATTTAATTGTTAGTGGCAGCTGTGTTCAATGCGGTATGTTGAGATGATTCATGTAAGGTTTTTCACTATCAGTATAAAGTTAAGGTAATATAATTTATAGAGTATCATCACCATGCTGATAGTGAGTTTAATTTGGTGCAACTATGCGGAGAGTGAGGGTCAGCATGGTGCAACTATGTGCATTGTGCAGCCATCTCACAAGTGAGGTCATGGCACAACCATACTTCTTGTGAGGCTATTGTAGTGTAAAATGTCTTCATGTGTACAATGTGATCTCATTATCCTTTTATATTATGTTATTGAGTGTCTATTTGGGCTTTACATTCTGATAGACACAATTAATGCCCTGCCTATTATGGATTGTACAGAACTATGATTGAATGTAAATTGTACAAAGAGATTTGTATAAAATTGTAATGATCTTAACCAGTTGAACATTATGTACAAGATTCTTACTGTATGCCTTGTTACATTCAAGCTCTACAGTAAATACTGTATAACTTATGTTAAGTTCTGTATTGTAGATTATCATAGCTTTTTGCTGTATACTGGTACTTTGTCAGAACAATGGCATGTCATTTTGTAGCTCTCTTGTGTATATTGTCATGGACAAACATTTTGCCTTCTCATTTACAGGGTCGACTTCAAAACTTGTCGTGTTCAATTTTGTACTTTGAACTATTCTCTGCAACTTGTGTTCTGAATAGTTCAATTAAATGTGCATTTTCAGAGTATGGTGCAAGTTTGTACAGATTTCTTTTGTACTCGATTCTTGAAAGTTAGACTGAGATATTTTTTATAGACCACTGGTTTACATTGTATTTAAAAAGGATGTATTGATGTGTTCATAAATTCCAGGTATCATTAGCATTGTTATGTCACAATTGTAAGGGGAGATTATGTAATGAGTGTTTTTCCATTACAATAATGGAAAGAATTATTGAATATTAGTTCTCCTTAAAATGTGACATGTATTACTGTGTATCTAATGTAAAAGGTGTACAAATCACTTTTAAAGCTCCTCAACTCATGCGAGATCATCTCATCCTCATATTGTAATATAAACCATCTTGCAACATGTATACGAATAGAAAATGTTGCAATAAATTTTATAAACAATACATGTGTGAATGTGTTTGTTATTATTGGATCGAACTGGTGAAAGTTAATGGCAAATATTTCTTGTATGATATCATTTTGTGTTTTGCTCACTTGTGTTGATATCACAAGGAATTTTATCAGATATTTGATTCTTCATAAAAATTACCCCATCAATTTGGAAGATTTAAAGATAGCTCCTATCATCTATGTGCAGGTCTGTCTGTCCAGAAGAGAAAAGTATGATTTTTGATATTTATGTTGCCGCCAAGAAGTGGTGACATATTGTTATGGTCTCCGTTTTTTGTGGCATCTGGTGGTTAGTGGGTGGCATCTGTAACAAATGCTGTCAAGACTGACTTCTATTTTTTTCCAAATCATCTACATGTTTTTTAGAAGTTCAATCTGACTTAACATTTAAGATTTGACCTTTTCAAGGTCAAAAAGGTCTTTTTCTACAACTTGCTCCAAATTGACAAATTTGTTTTCAAAATCATGTACAAGTTATCAGAAGTTCGAATCTGACTTAAGATTTGGTCAAGGAAAATTCAAAAAGGTATTTCAACTTAAATTTTTTTTAAAATCTACGAGTTTAAATCTGACAATAGATTTGACCTTCAATGACATTATCAAGGACAAAAAAGATTTGACCTTCTCAAGGTCTAAAAGGTTTTTTTCAACTTGCTTCAAATTGATCAATTTTTTTTCAAAATCATTACCACCCTTGGTATACGCAGCTAACGAAAATTGACCGGCACGGGTCAAAAGCTGGACCGGCACGGGTTAACGGTTTTATTTGAATTTAAAACAGCCATAACTTGCTCAATATTGACTTCCTCGTGTCTAATTTGAAATATATGATGCCTCCCGATGCTTTTAAGTACCCCAATTTTTTACAGATTTTTAAACGGACCAAAACTCTCTAAATGCGCATTTATGCTCTTTTCTCTCGAGAACGACTGTCTCATTTTCACGATAACTTTTATTTAGTACTTCCAACATATAAGATCTATTTTTCCCCATCAAGGTATGATGTAAATGACATGCTATTTACATATTGTGAGTTTCAATGACGCGCGTTTGATTTTATAAAAAATGCCAAACTTTGTGACAAAGAATTTCATCAGCTATTGCCCCGAACCGGTCCGTCTTCTCTCTGCAAGCAGATTGCCCCGAACCGGTCCGTCTTCTCACTGCAAGCAGGATGAAATTCTTTGTCACAAAGTTTGGCATTTTTTATAAAATCAAACGCGCGTCATTGAAACTCACAAGATGTAAATAGCATGTCATTTACATCATACCTTGATGGGGAAAAATAGATCTTATATGTTAGAAGTACTAAATAAAAGTTATCGTGAAAATGAGACAGCCGTTCTCGAGAGAAAAGAGCATAAATGCGCATTTAGAGAGTTTTGGTCCGTTTAAAAATCTGTAAAAAATTTGGGTACTTAAAAGCATCGGGAGGCACCATATATTTCAAATTAGACACGAGGAAGTCATTATTGAGCAAGTTATGGCTATTTTAAATTCAAATAAAACCGTTAACCCGTGCCGGTCCAGCTTTTGACCCGTGCCGGTCAATTTTCGTTAGCTGCGTATACCAAGGGTGATTACGGTGTTCTCAGAAATTCAAAAAGCTGGAGTATTGGGGGATGCCCATATGGACACATTTGTAAATAACAATTTATTGAGACGAATGAATAATGCAAACAATGGACTTTTGTATGAAATAAGAAACAAGAAATAAGAGGAGCATCTTGGCATAATTGATAAGTAAAGAAACCTATACCAAACATAAATATTTTATACAATTTTTTGGGAGGTGGGACTACTTTTGTTTCAGCATAAGACAGGAATGCAAATACATTCATCACACTTGACATAACAAAACTGTATAGTAATAGTTTTTTGGCTTTATTCTTTGACAAGGTACAAGCTGTTCCAAAGCAATAATATTTTTATATAATTATACACCTTTTTTAATAATCATGGTCTTCACATTGGAAAATAAATAAACACTATAAATGTTCAAAGATAACAAAATAATTTACCATAGTATGAATTAGTAGTGCCATGTGGAATGTACACCCTGCATAATAAAACAATGTTGTTAACAAGAATAGTTGTTATATAATATTGGAACATTTCAAGCGTGGAAACAATGCACTCTGGGAATGTCATCACGATTCACAATCTTACACATATATTCATTTATTGGAAATACAAGTAAATAGTCTAAAAGGTCACATACATTCAAATACAAAAACGGTGAGGACTGGAATTTTTGTATAAAGTCCATGTGTTACCCCCTCCCACCATATAACATTATCATGTTTGGGGAAATAGTAATGGGTAACCAGATAGAATGGAAAACTAAATGGAAATGAAATTACAGCATCTATATGAGTTTCGCAGGTGTACATTGGATAGTTTTGCCAGGATTCCTGTAGTGTTTACATATACGCTGTACACTATATACAGACACATTGTCACATCATACATACCAGTATGCTATATGAACACAAATTGAACAAAAATAACTTAAAATAAATACATATACAAGAGACTTCCATTAGAAAGAATCCCTGATCGGAACACAAAGCATAACAAAAGACATCTTTATATTTGACAGTCTTGGTACAACACTTCCACATAACATGTGTAATGTGCTCCACATAGCTTTAAGCAAAGATTACACGTCTCAACCAAAAAGAAATATTTTCTTCCCCACTGGATTCCAATAAACAGTCTTCTATCTACATACATACTGTATATGCACTACATTTTGATTGTAAGAGGATAGTTTCAGAATTTCAGTACATAGTCATCTTTCCATTACATTTGGATCCCCTATATTACTTATGAAAGGAAAAAATACATGAGCACATTTGGCTTTGATTTACGATAATCCTATGATAATTTTATAATTTGCACACAATGAATCATTTTACCACAGGGTGAGTGCATCAATAAAATAGTGCAAAGGATCTGTAATTTTTCACTTCCAAAGTGTTTTGTTATCAAGGATGGTTGGGTCTCTATCAGTAACATAAAACTACGCCCAGAAAACTGAAATTTTTTGAGACAGCTCCTAAGAACTGGCAAGAAATCAATTTGATCTACAGGCAAAAAATATTTCAAATCAATACTGATACAGTATGAATGATACCAAGAATAAACAAGTTCCACTTCATGGTTGATCTACATAATTCTAAAATGGCGTCTCAAAAGTGTGACCTATGAGGATTGGTGACACATAAGGTATGTACATGTATGTACAATTCATGCATTATCACTGTGTTGGATCTTATGTACACTTTATTTTCTAACTGATCTCGATACAAAGCAATGAGTACCATGCAAGTTTTCAGAGGCTGGACAGGAGTAGGCTGGGCCGAGATTCTTTTGATCACAGGGCAATTTACATTTCAGTCAATGTGAGAATTGACTACCAATGAACCCAGTTTTCCGAATTCAGCTCATTGAACAATGTCACAATCAACAGGGCAGTCTGATGAGCCAAATTAGGAAATCTTACGGAAGGTCAGTTCTTCGAGTAACCACGGACCTGATTAAAGTTAATGGAGTAACCAAGCACATCCATTCATTTATCATACAGTCCACAGCCAATTATCAATACAATATTGGAGTTATGTCTGTACCTTGGACGAAAGTGTGTATCCTGCCTTCTTAGTTTGTGATCTCTAACAGTAAGTCTAAGTTCTATGTGTAACATGAATGTCATAGTTTTATGATTAAAGGTAATCCCAATTGTAAATGTTCTTTGTTAACAAAATGCTGTAATGTTGCTAGAGCACCAAATGCATATCCTAAAAAATATCTTCACCTCTTATGTAATATAGAAAATATCTCATTATTCGTGCAAAGGTTGAGAGTTCATTAAAATAATGTAAAGATCAGACAAATGCAAGCCAAGTAATGGAAAACTTTTTAAATTCAAGAATGACACCAGTTATATTATGACATCTTAAGCACTCATTCCTTAAAAATCATGTACTGGATCTTAACATACATAGTACTAACATATAATTGCCACTAATTTTGATTGTTTCATAAAGGAAGTTTTACATGAACCTAAATTATTTCAGAAAATTAAATAGGATTCTGAAATAAACGTTGGTATGCTTTTTGAAAATATTGCTTCTAGTATTTTACTCTCTCTAGCCCTTCTAATTCTTTTGATAAAGAATCTAGCTACTGTTTCTACAAAATTACAAATATTCTTTTATAAATTATGCTCTATCTCTATACAAGCTATATCCTAGCACTAGATGTCCCACCTATAAGCCTACATATTGCATATGCTCAAAGTACATGTCCCATTTGTACATTTACATAAAGCATATCAAAGTCACACTTTGGGCCATATATTTCTCAATAATTGGTATCAATGCTTAGATATATCTTATATCCACTGGTTCATAGCCAATATCCATCCTGAGATAAACACTGACACACATATAAATAATGTTGATTATGATTAATGCTAGGCCATCTTTGAAAATTGGACTTCCTAATTTAATTCAACACAATGCTCTATTTTGCATTCACACCTAAGACACATTATTTGATCGTGGATAGCTCATTTCAATAAACATTTCCAAAAACTTTGTCTCAATATGAGATTTTTTAGCCACCCTTAGTTTCAACATTTGTTTATGGTCTAATACTTGTACATACTTGTTTTTAGTCTATGATAGTTGCTTTAAGTCTTTTGCAACTGCTTTCATTAGTCTTATATTGCAGCAAGTTATCTTAACTAGGTAGTTCCAGTATTTTGATCGTACCTCACAGTAGAATACACTCCTCTATGCTTTTAACTGTGTACTTAAAAGTTATCAATTCCTCCATACAACTTAGGTAGGATATTCATTCTACCTCATGGTAAATACTATGCAAAATTCCTCCATTTGACTCCATGTAAATGTTGATCAAAAAGCCACGACTGCATGACTTTCAATATATCACACTCAAGTGGTAGATTTTCCATGCACTTACTTACACAAGTATTTCCCTTGACTCCTCTGAAGCTTACATAATATAACATCACATATTGTAACTTTGTCCCTTCCTTCATTCATATATCCTCAAATCTTGATATCCAGGTGTTAGAACCCTATAGATATCCCTATTTGGTTCACATATCCATATTATAAATGGTATCTTATAAATAACTCAACAATTGCTTTCAGTTAGTCGACTTTGGTCATCTTTCAAAGATCTAAGTTCATCTTCTAATTGTCTGATGCGCTTATCTTTTAGTCCCAGGTGCTCCTTCAGAGACCGGATCTCCTCAAGTTGCCGGAAGTAAGCTTTACGTAACTGTAACCATAATGCATCAGAAATAAGAATTCAATCTTGGTACAGTCATAAGGAAAAACTAAAGTATTGAACTTCATTCATTTGTTTTCAATAGAGTATAATAACAAGGCATTAACATGCAAAATGTCACCACCATTTCTTACAAATGTCACCACCATTTGTTACAAATGCAAACCACCAATCATCAACCGCTGTCACAAAAAATGGAGACCATAACAATATGTCACTACTTTTTGGTGGTGACATAATAAAAATGAATTAAAATCATGCAGGTTTAATTGAAACATAAATATTAAACTATTTTATAATATATTGAATAAAACATGTTTGTGTTCCTGTAATGAGGTCCTGTAATGTTATAATTTTACATGTTTAAATTAGAAAGCAAGCAGAGTTTCTATGTTATCTATGCCCATATATCCTAAAAAAGAGAAGACTTGGTTAATCTGCTATGCTGCACTGTACATAATTAAGTAGGGCATTGTGGGATGATATTCGATATTTGGACCTACATGTACTTGTAAACAAACTTATGTTTTTATACACCAATTAATATTCAAGACCTACCTTAAAGGAATATTCCTTGTCAGACCCTTTCTCTCTTGATATGGTAGCTATAATCATACATATAGTTTCCATATTTAGCAAAACATGGGAAAATGTTTTAATATGGTCAATATTGATCATTTAAAAATCTAGTGCTTATTTCCAGTAAGCTGCCATCTTTTAAGATTTCTTGCAGGAAGTGATGTCATCAACTCTTAACTTCTATAACCTTACCCATAACAGTATAGGAAAGTAGCACAAAATCACTTCTAGACAAGTGATCATTACTTTCTGTGCAAAAATATTTTCAGGGCTTGTCAACTTAGAATAAAAGAAGAGATTTTCAGAAGGATTAAATACAGGGTGACCCCAAAAAAATGCAACCCTCCATTTCTTCAATATTTTTCTTAAATGGAGGTTAATTGCTCTGAAATTTGGCACACAAGAACTTCATTCAATGTGGGATCCTCTTTTAAAGTTTCAATAATCATAGTCTTATATTGATAGAGTTATGGTCGTTCCAAAATATGCTCCAAATATCGTCCATTTCCAATGTTAGGTTTTCGGATGAATCACATTCCCTTCTTTCTGAACATGTAAACTCAAGACATAATGTGTTCTGGGATCACAAATTCCAGATGAAGTGTTTCAAAGGCCCCTTCATTTTGTTAAATGCACAGCTTGGGCTGCCAATTTCCAAACATGAAATCATCAGCCCCTTTTGGTTTGAGGTTGATAATGGCAACACTGTTAGTGTTAACACACGGCGCAATATTGGCATTCCCAGGAAGTTCTAGGCAGTTCTATAGAGTGATATAGAGGCTTCAATAGACAAGAACAGTCGTTCTAGAAGGATGGAGCTACTCCTCACACTTCTAATGATAGCATAGCCTGGCTCACTCGTCATTTCTATGAGAAGATTATCTCTCCTAGGACGGAGAACCCATGGTCATCCCAACGTCTTGATCTCAATGCCCTTGACTTCTATATATGGGTTTATTTAAAGGATAATGTGTATGAAAATAACCCTACGGCAATTGCAGAACTCCAACAAGCAATGGCTGCAAAAATTTGAGCCATTCCCATGGGAAAAAATGCATCCGAGTTATGAACAGTTTTCCTTGAAAATTGCAAGTTTGTTTTCAGGGAAATTGACGACATCTGGAGCATATTTTGAAACAACCATAACTCTATCAATATAAGACTATGATTATTAAAACTTTGCCAGAGGATCCCACATTGAATGAAGTCCTTGTGTGCCAAATCTCAGAGCAATTTACCTCCATTTAAGAAAAATATTGAAGAAATGGAGGGTTGCATTTTTTTTGGGTCACCCTGTAAGATACAAAGTTGAAAAAGAATATTTAGCTGGTTTTGTAATTCTTAATAGCTCCTCACCTAATGCTATATGCAAAGTTGAGAGTAGATGACATCACTTCCTGTGTGAAATTATAAAAGATGGCAGCTTACTGGAATTGAGCATCACATTTCTAAGTGATCAAATTTGACCATATCAAAACATTTTTGCGTGTTTTGCTAAACATGGCAAGCATATATATGGTTATAGCTACCATATGAGGAGAGAGATGGTTTGGCAAGGAATATTCCTTTAATATAAAAAATGACACCATTCGGAGAGCTCACACATGGTGAGTGCTTGAACTCTTTTTTAAATCTACATCAAGTTGCGAGTATGTCAAATTGAAAAAGTTGGTAAGTAAAGGAAAAGTTAGTATTACCCATATAAATCAATGGGATAAATGAATATGAATGATAGTAATAGCTTATCATGAAATCATTTTGTAAAATTTTAGCTAAAATTAAGTCCAAAAAGTACCAAGAGAAACTAAAAACAGTGGAAGCACAAGAACTTTTTGTGTAGAGTACCAGAAAATTATTCTTAAATTCTAAAATTATTGATGGATGGACAAATGGAAGGACAATTATACAAGTTAGTGATTCCAGAGGCTCACCATTTGCCAAAAACAAAAATTTCTCCAAAATGTGACAAAAATAAGAGCTTGAATCATGTTGAGTTCTTCTCTATGTGCTCTAGTATATTTGATGAAGGTTAACTAATTAAACCAGGATTACCCATAGTAAGATTAAAACTGACACATTGCTGAACAAATTGTGACACTCACATCACAATCACTGTTCACCAACTAGAAACACAGTGGAGGAACTGCCTGTGTTTGTGTACATAACGTCAAAGTAACCAGTCGAGAAAGAGTGACTATTATTGATATTAACAAAAATGGAATTACTTAGTGCTATTGTTATTATGTCTTTGCAATATCAATGTTAGCTAGCACTGTATTAACCTTCTCCGCCAAGCACTAAGAATCCTACAACATACTATATTATGGGACATATTATATCCTACATTTTAACATAAAAAGCTGTTATCCAAATCTGCCCCTGGAATGCAAGCTGTAAACCCCCAACCTCATTTATGCCAAGGGTTCCAATAAATATCTGTTCTGCCAAGAGTGTCTGTTTCATCTCTGCTTCTCCTACCATCTTGAAAGCATGCAAGCACAACAAATAAAAGAATGCTTTAAAGAGTAACAGATAAATGTTTCATAAAATTTCTTAAAGCTGGACTACGCTCCGAAACGCAATCTTGGGTTGTTTCGGGGGTGAACTTTATCATTTTGAGCTTAATGAAAGATTATAGAATGATGAACAAATGGGGCAAATCTTGTGTAGAAATACTTACGATAAATGTGTCATTTCAAAGATTTTTCATTGAATTTGCTTCGATCGGTGCCGGCGATATGATTTTGGAAAGGTTTCTAAATGAAGAACGTGACGTCACTTCCGAATCATAGCATTCAAAATAAGTAGCGTTAAATTACTTCCTCCTTTCATATTAATACGTTGGTGTAGCGGGTAGAATCCGCGCTTAGCACGCGGCAGGCCCGGGTTCGAATCCCGCGTTAGCCTTTTTATTTTTTTAACTAAATGATTGTTCTTTGATATTACGCAGAAAAAACAATTTTTATTTACATAAACTTTATATTAGAGCTTGAAAATGTAAAAACAATATATGTCAACATATTGCGTTTCGGAGCGTAGTCCAGCTTTAATAACAAAGGAGATTTGTACCAAAACTCACTGAGGATCAACTAGAGACAAGGAATCTTTATCCACTCATCAGCATGGCAGCACTTTTAAAGTCAGGTTTGCTTTTTAGCTTTATCACCTTCATTCTTTTGAATTTCAACTCAAACTTTGGAATTGATTCTCTGCTTTTGAAATGAAGAAACGTTCTGTTTTGTAGCAATTTGATTTTAGAGGATATCCATTGTATCGTTTAAATTAATGATATTCAAGTAACTGTGAAGTTCAAGTTAAAGAGATTATATCTAGAAAACTAAATCTTCATCAAATTCTTTCTGAAAGTGCAGCCATGCTGAAAATGAGGACAGCATGTCTTCATTTCAGTTGATTCTCAGAAAAAAAAACTGGGAATTTCATGGGGTGAAAAGAGACTGAGCTACTGGAACTTTGTCAGAAAGGAATTTGGCAAAATCTATATCTCCTTCACCCATAACATTCTCAGTTTGGTGATAATATGTAGGTGTACATAGACACAAAAGAGACAAGTTAGTAAACGAGGCATTAGTCCCATCAAGAATGCTGAAATAAAACTATAGATGGCACCATAGTCAGCTTTATTTTACCATTTCCCCATGTGGAGTACAATGTTCACTGGTCATGTACATCATAGATGTCACTGCTATAGTATTTGCCCGACCTACTGGTTTACTTGGTCGGTATCCTGGAGGTTTTCCACTCTGGAATTGTGAGGGTTAAATCAGGAGTTAAAAAAGTCTACAGAACAGCAAAAAAGGGTTAAATTCAGATAAAAACTGTCTAATCTTGAAGTAAAAGCATGTATGACAAGGATGCTTCTTGATAGTCTTGCACCAGGTCTCTGGTCTTCCATGGCCCCTGGTCTCCTCACATCATTGAGTAGAGGGTGTGTATGTTAGTCGGAGTGGGGTGTAGTAACACAAGATCATGATGCGGGATTAGAATCTGGACAAGTTTCGAATGTGGAAATGCCCTTCCTGACTGTTCTTCTGACATAAACATACTGCAGAGATACAGGATAATAATAATCTGCCCTTATCTAACTCTGCATAACTTACATTAATAACATCAGAGTACATGTATAATAAACTAAGGGACTGCTAACTACAATTAGGGTTCTGGTATTCTTATATTACAATACAGGTCTGCAGCCATATGTTTGAGATTTCACCCCTCCCTCCCATCCTGAGGGAAAATATGTGAAACTTCAACAAAACTGATCCCTTGGCTACAAGCCTGCTCCAGACAGATCCTGAATCAACAAGAGGAACAAGCACTTTCTTCAATATACCTGAGTCTGTTGAGTGCCCTGGAATGTCACAAAAAATACTGTAAAACATTATCTTCATTACATATTACAATATATCAGCCATAAGATCTCCTCCAATCAAGAAAATTTTAATATTTACATGTTCCTAACTGTTTGGTCATCCGAGAGTGACAATGTCAGAAAACTGACTTTATTTAAAAAGGAACACAAGGCCAGATGAGTGAAACTCTTAACTTTCAGGATATTTATTTGATCTGTTATTCTGATTTTCCAAATGTATTATACATTAAAATTGCTCAAGGATTCATGTTTTAACTCGAATCACATTTCACAGTGGCTCAGAATATAAAACCAAGAAGCAGACCTACATGCAGAGACCTTTAGGTCAATTTCATAGCTTTGTATTCCTTTAAATGATTATTAACAGAATCGTTGCACCTGTAACAAAAAAACAAGAAATCATAGATCACCTCTATTCACAACAATATTGAATATATGGATTTAGATATACATGTATGTATAATATGATCACCAAAATGCATGCTTCATATATATAGTCGAACCCCACCCATGCAATTCACACTCCACTTACTAGATACACCACAAGAGTGGGTCACATGGGGAGGGTTCGCAGACTACTTATTGCCAAAATCGTCGCCTACCTCAGGGTCAGTCCTGGGGCCTGTGCCATTCTCCACAGGGATGTCTTTGTCGGGAGATTCAAACTTGCGGGGTGCCCACACCTTCTTCACGTGACTCACCTAAAGCAAATTATAGCTCTAATACAGGATAAGTCGCCATGACACACCACAAAATGATTACCATATTGAAATGTTGATTAAATATTTGAACATTATAAATATCTATAACGGACTTCATTAAATTGATAATCTAGCAAAAAGTCTTGTACAAAAATACATTTAAATAGTAATTTCATAGATTTCTCCTAGAGAAGAGGTATAGAGGCAGGACTACTGTATATTAAGCAGAAGTAATCAAAGCAAATTATTTACATGTCTAAATTCAGAGTGTCAAACGCATTTGTGCCAACACAAAATGTATATTATGGGTGATATAAAGTGTATCTATATAATTTTTAGATTAATATGTAAAGTTGTATATAAAAATTATCAAGATAAAAGTTGTTATATAATAAAGTTGTTTGTCTTTATTCTTATTCTTATTAGAAATAGATTGTAAATTAGGAATCCCACATCATTAAATTATTCAGACAATAGTGGGTAAAGTTGTCATGGTTATTAAAGTTGTCATGGAAACTTAATTTGTTAAATGTAGCAGAGCATATAAAAATTAAAATATTATATCTTTGAATATTATATTTCAGTTTTGTATTAATTAAAGAAACAGTATATATTAAGACATCGAAGGGACTTGAATATCAAATCAAGTGAAGTATGTGTTAAAAGTGTCCATTCGTGAATTACATATTATACACTGATTTGAGCATATTGAAAGCCATGAGCTACCACCAAATTATCATTAGTACATGCATTAGTAATAACTTCCTCGCATTTATTTTCCTTAGAATGGGCGAGACATAATTATCATTACAATTATCAAAAATTAATTAGGAGAGATGTTTATAGTAGGAAAATTAATATATGTTACAGGTAAGGTATATGACTATATGTTAAGGTAGTTATTTATTTCAATGGGAGGATAGTGGAGTCAAACAGGAGGTACATGTACACAGGGTGTTAAGTAACTCTAAAGAACACACATATTTTGTGACAATATCAAAGCAAAATTAGATAGAATACGATTAAAACAATTAATGATTCATGCAGAAAGCAAGCAAATGCATGTAGTGTTTGGTCTCATTAGTAACATCAATTACAGCAAATTGACATTTCTAAAGCATAAAAAGGTCAATATAGTCATGCAAACTTCATTTCTTTCCAAATCCTCCAAGAAATCTCTGGTTCTTATGCTTTTCTTAACATAGCTGAAGACTTCAGAAGAGGTCTATTAACATAAAATATAGAGGGATTGAGAAGAATAGGTAGAAGGAAGGAGAGGTATATGCTATTGAAATATGATAAATGGCCATAAAACAAAAGAAACTTGATAATGTCAACACTACGACATTGCAAATCCCATCAAATATGTGTCAGACAACATTACTAGAAGTCATTTCTCAAAACAGATGGAGGTATTCTCTATATCGCCCAAACTTTCTTCAATTCAATTTAATCAATGAAAGGTTTTTCAAAATTAAAGTATAAGCCACCCCCAACACAAAGTATTGCAAGTATAGAGGCTCTAAAAATAAGGTATAAATAATCGAAGGACATCTTGAACCTGCCGCCCACCCTTCAGTACATTCCTTGCTAATTCCACTCAACTCCTCTATTTTTATTCAAAAAATGCATGACCATTATGACATTTTCTTTTCTTTCCCTCCTCAAGCATTAACTCACCTCATTCCCCCCAAGGTCATCTGAGTTCATGTGACCTGTATCACTGCTGGCGATAACGGCAGCCTTAATTGACGAGGGCCTAACAGATGCATCTGCATCGTCATAGTATTTTGTCGGTGATATTTTTGACAATTCAGCATTTTGTGGAATCTTTGGCATTGGTGTTTCAGCTGATGGTGATACTGCATTTGATTGGCTTTTGGTGGCAGGTGTAATGTCCAGAGATGTAGGCCTCACTTCCCCAGATACCCCAGTATCCTCTGTAGATTTTACACTATGTTTGTTTATTGATCCAATCCTTGAGAGATTGCTGTTTTCAGGGGGAGTAGCCTGACTTAACTTTTCAAATTTGTCTCTTACTTTATATGAGTCATCACTTGATCTCTGGGCATTGTTCATAAGTTTGGGTTCCTCGTGTGTGCCATTTGTTTGGCTAACATTCGGTTTGGATTTGTGATGTATGTTTGAGTGTTCATTTCTTGAATGTCTCTGCTTCCGTTTCTTCTCTTTCATTGCACGTAAATATGCCTCTGATGCTTCCATGATTTCCTCATTAGTTGGGGAGGGGTCATCAGTTTCTGATGGTTGGGTAACTTTATGAGCCTTATTTGTATCTTTTATATTCCTTGCAGTTTGATCACTGGGTGTCAATTTGGGGGGAGTGTTTTCAGATCTTGTTATGAAACGTTTTATTGGGACTTTCTTTTTGGAATCTGCAGAACGAGTCTTACCTCCTTTCTCTGATTCAATGGCAGAGATTTTAGTATCCGCTCCAACTTCAATTGTCTTTGTTCCTGTTTTTGTTACAATTCTAAATGTTTTCTTACCAATGCTTGGAGAAATAGGGGATTTAGTGGGAATATTATGTGGGGAATTTTCCACTGATAAAAGGGAATTTTCCACTGGCAAGGGTTCAGTTTTGGTGGTATTGTTTGGGAAGACAAATACAGACTTCTCTTCAGAGTGATTGCTAGTAGTGGAAGAAACGAGGGTTGTTGAAAGTTGAGTGTTTGCGTTAGAAGGAGCTTGTAATGAACCTATAGATGATGATGTCACTGATTTTATAGATGTTGTCACAGAAGAGACAGATGTTGTTCTAGAAACGGATGTTGTAGAACTCTCTGAATTTTCTTTTGAAATTATGTTTTTCTGTCTCCATTGTTCATTAGGCAATGATGTCATACTAGAACTCCTTTCAACTTGTTTCCCTGTTCGGCAGTCTGACTTCAGTGTTGACTCTGGGGATGTATTGTCTACTGGTGTATCCTGAACTATATCTGACCTACTGCATGTCTCCTCTTGGTAAAGTTTGGACCACAACCACTGTTCACTCTCATCTTTGATCTTGGCTACAGGTGACAGCACCTCATCTAGAGAATCAATCGCCTCTTTCTCTTCAGAATCTGGACTTTCAAGGCTATCAGCTTTTCTTGTAATCATTGGGGATATAGTTTCAGAGACCCTCTTTACCTTGGACAATAAATGTTCATTTGGTGAAGGCTTTTGAACAACAGGGTGTGGGGAAAATTCTCTAGTTGGTGATTCATCATGAGACCCACCTAGATTTCTAGCTAGTTCATTGCTAGGAGTTCTGGTTAGTTTGACAACTCTTTGGGGACTAGGATCACGTTTGCGACCAAGTTTCAAAACAGCTTTGCTCTCAAAACTAACGTCTCCCTCATCATCTGACTCAAATATATGCAGTCTTTCAACTGATAGTCTCCTTGGAGTTAACCTAGGGGAACTTGGCTCAATGTCTGATTCATCCAATGAAACACGACGTTCCCTCTCATCAGTAGGTCCAGCCAGTGTTCCAATTGTGAGGCTTGCCTTGTGGTTACCAGCGCCACTTCCAGATGGTGAATTCATGAATTTTCTGGCTGACTGTGGGGATTCCTGTGGTCTTTGTATTTGAGGAGACTTTATTGGATATTGTGCTGAATCAAATGATGATTTTCTCTGTAACTGTGGAGATGTCTGTGACATCATTTGTTTGCGTTGCATCCCTGGTGATGTTATTACTGCTTTGCGCCGTGGCTGGGGTGATGTCATTGGGGTTTTTCTGATTGGTTTAGGGGAAGAGAATGATCCTCTTCTGACTGGTTCAAACTGCATCATATTTTGTGAACTTAGCCCTTCAAATTCTTTATCGTAATTGAACCCACTTTTTAATTTAAGTGAACCACCTCTAGATATTTTATTAGAAGCATCCTTTGTAGGTTCCGACTGATTCAAGCCATCTCCAAATATGTCTTTCAAACTAGGCCTTGCTCTGGTTTTTGTTTCCTTTAGAGAACCAGAGCCAGAGCCAAATATATCCTGCACATGAGGGCGACTAGATGAACTATGTTGTGGTTCCAGGTTCCAGGAACCTGTCTTAGATTGTTCTAACTGCTGTTCCATGGCTTGAACCTTCTTCCTGATTGAGCCACGTAAAAATTTATTATCCCTTGAGAAGTATTCACTTTCGTCTGTTGTATTTTCCTCCGACATGAGAGTTATTTGTGGTTTCTTTTCATCTTCATCGGGAACAATTATTGCATTTTGTTGATTTATCATTTTCTCAATCATTGAAGCTTTGTTTCTGATTGAACCTACTCTTCTAAATGGTTCATCACTGCCATGATCATCTGACGAATCAATGTTTTCCAATTGGTGTAACTGAGCAGAGATTTCAGAGGTTTCCATGGTTTCCTCATATTGCTCCACCTGGTGGTGATACTATAAACAAGGCAAACAAACCCATGCTAAACATGCAGCATGCTGGCAATCCAAGGCAGAAAGAATTCATAACTTGTATGATTTGAAAGTATTGACTGTCAGAAATTTCAAAAAATGATGGCACATTAAGCCCTACATACAACTATGTACATGATACACTATTTTGCCTCATTGGTGTATGTTGGGCTTTATCAGCTCGCAAAATTTTCCAAATAATGAAAATCCTGATCTGCCTTAGATTCCCTTGACATGCAAAATAAACAGCAAAATAACAACAAATGAGCCAAAAATCCCATAAAATAAATATACTAAAATAACGTTATACTATAAATTCATAATAAATACATGTATTTTACAGACAACATTTCAACATAAAATTTAGTTTAAATAAAAACACCAAAGAAGTGATATAAACTAAAAGAAATGAATTGCAGGGAACTGTCATTTTAAATTTGGGTTGATGTGCTTTCATTTACTGAGTTTGCTTTTATCACATGAGGAATAGGGTCAGGGGAAGAAATGTGTGCAGTAAGAGAACAAGGGTATTCAATTTATCAGAATTTTTTTCAAACTTTTTCAAATCTGCTTAAAATTTAGTAAGAATTTAAAGTTATTCTCTAAATGTTGTTCTTTATTTGTAATATGTCCCCAATCACTTATATACCATTTTAAAGCTGGCGTGCTAATTTGCTGTACTAAATTTTGTGATTTGGGAAAAGCCAGCATATCTATTGCAGCCCAGGCAATAAATTCTTTCTTTAATTGCTTTTATATTTGCACTTATAAGTTCATTTATACTCAGATACTGTTAAGGCTAATATATCAAACTATTACCACTTTGCGCTTTAAATCAAATACCATTGATGTATTAATATTCATTATTATTTCATGGCAGTTTTCCAACGTTGACATGACAAAGGACACCATATAGAAACCCTAACTTTAAAAAAATTGATTATATTGTGATCATGATGTAAACAGTTAAACAGTTTGGTAGACTGGCTATAAACGTCCCAGTATTAAAAATTTATTAAAAGTCATTAGTTAAGAATGCATTGTCAGTGATCTCGAAAGAGCTCAACTCATTGTCTACATCTGACTCATAATCTACCATCGGAAAGTGTGAATCCTGATTAGTTATGGAATTCATCTACCTCACTTTTAAAAATACAGGAACTGACATTGTCCTTGCTGATCAGTATGCAACTAGTGCTATGCCATCTTCACCTACCTGTGTCTCAGTCTTTGAATGGCCATTGGTCAGATTTTTCTCCACAACATTGCTAGAGCTTGAATATATTGTTTGCTTGTTCACCTCTGTATGATCTCTACTCTCAAAGGCAGACACTCTGTCATTTACACTGTTCCTGAAATAAGTTCATTGAGATCACATTTTTGGAAATGCTGTGGTTTATTGGCCGAAGGTGTACTGCACAAATGTTCAAAGTTTCAAAACATTAAATCAAAACCTTTTACATTGAAGATGTAATGTTTTTTTGAGAATGTCATTTAATTTATCCCATCATAAGTGGGTATCTACCACCTTTCCTTATCTGGACTCTCTATAATTACACTGTAGTTTGTATACATAGAAGATTTACTTGATTTCAATTTTCATAATTGTACTTGTTTTGACTTAAAATCACATCTGATTTTCAAATCAGAACAATAGTTCATTTCAATCCAGAAACATACTTGATATCAATTTAGAACTATACCTTTTGTCGACCTTCTGTTGTTCTTCTATGTGATCTTGTATCGTGTGAGCATCTAGAGATGTACTAAGTCTCTGGATGTTACGAACTGACTGGGGAATCTTCTCCTCAGGAGTTGTAGGTGTCGCTGCATTGTTCTGACGCCTTGTCACTGATTGGTTGCTGACTGAGGAGCCATGACGTACTGCACGATATGTGGTGATTGTAGGCGTTTCTGATAGAGCACCATCCTGAAATTATAATAAAATAGAAAATGTATGTCAACATAGATAAATTTAACATCAATGCTTATTAAAAATTTCCCATGTCACCAGGTTGCTTGGAAGGTTATGAAATGGTGTATAACGAGTACTATGGATGGATCAGAAAGAGAACATATTAAAAAAAATAAAGACACGTAGTAGTACATGTGAGCTTATAATAATCAGCAGAGTGGGAAATACATATTAAAACAGTAATGGACTTACAAAGAGTATTTCTTAAATGAATACATAGATATATACTTAATCTGTCCATGTTTTTTGCATTACAATGTGCCAAATCCTTAAATTCTAATTTCACCTGTTTTGATCACCCTATTTCATCTATTTGACCTGGTGAAAAAAGACTACAAACATGGTAGAATGTTCTGATTGCTTTAATGCTGGGAAGATCACTGATAAATATATCATTGTGAACAGAACAGACAAATCAGTATAAACATCAAAGAAAAAGAAAAATATTTTTTAATTATAATCTTAAATCTACATCAGAAATTCAAACACATAGAGTAGCTATACAGAAATAAACAGCTTATGTTAATAAATGGTGTCAGAATGTCAAAAGTTGTGGAAAATAAAATTAATTTTGATAGGGGGTAAAGGAAGAATTCATCAGTGAAGTATGCTAATTTTTGGGAAAATCAAGTAAAGGGCAAATCAACATTTAAAACATTGTGGAGTGGGAGGAATAGATTATAACCATATATAATAATGCAACTTGTTTTTCCACAACTGTCAACATTTGGACACCATCCCTAGAAACACATGATTTGCAGATGGAGGATTATAAGAGGGGGAGGGGGTGAATAGTGAATGATATTGTTCTTATATAATATGCATGTGTTGCAGCAATATGCTTCAAGGGGTGAATAGAGTGGTAGAATATGCAATCTTGTGAATCAATGCTATATCAATGTCATTTTAGATCAATGCAATCATTCCAAGCGAAGAATTCCATATACATGCAAGTCTGTGTTGAAGGTAGGTTCTTTGTTTGTGCTCAGAGGTTCATAATCATACACATGTACAGGTCTTTAAGCTCCTATTGTAAAACAAAACAAGGCATAGACATACACACATGTTACCATCTGTGACAGTAATTGCATATGATAAGTAATTGAAAATGTTATACAAAAGTGTACCAATTTGTTACACATGCTAAATGCTGACACCATTTGTGTTGTAACAAGGGTATGGAAGGGGCTGATTTCATTCAGTGATGTAGGATTGCTGTTGATTCCATTTCACGCAGTGCTCACACTTAATGTATAAATAAAAGACATACAATGGCGGGTTCTTATGGTTTTAGGAGATGCTGGATTTACATAAAGGCTGGTTTTAGAAGGTTTTTAGAATATATTTAAGGTTTTTTTGTTGAAGCATGCACGACACATGGCGCATATGAAACTATTTTTGAATGCATTTTGCAAGGCTAAAGCCAGTGCTTCACCATAGACATGCTCCTTATACTGAACACAAATGATCCACAGGCCCCTGGTGCATTCAACATTGCTCTACCTTAGTAGAAGAGGTCTCTTTTGAGGAAGCACTATTTGTGGAGGATGTAGATGACCTCCTCTCCCTTGAAGGGGTCTTTGTTGAGTTGACAGGTTTCACCCACCCAGAACTACCCCCTTTCACCCAGCTTGGCTTGCTGGGTGTAGTGGCTTTGCTGGTTGTTGTAATGATCTTGGTTACAGATCCACTTGGGGAGCTTGATTTGTAAGACATTGAATTACTCCTGTTAGGGGTACTATTAATGGTGGTAGTGTTAGTGCCAGATCTGTTAGTAGTACTAGTGTTAGTTGGTCCCATGCTGCTAGCTTTACTAGAGCTGCTGTTAGTGGGTGAATCGATGCTGTTGGATCGACTTGAGGAGTGAAGGAGCTTGGGATTGCTGTTCGTTCTTTTCCGTAAACCAGCAGGGGATTTGCTTGGACCCATAGGAGATTTCGCTCCTTGTCCTGGCCCCTGGGAAGTATGTGGATTTACAGGGGTAGAGCTGTTGGATCTCACGAGGGTAGTGGGTCTGGTAGCGGGGCCTGGGCTCCTCATGGACTGGGTACGACTCACTTGGTTCTATTAGTGAAAACAGCACATACATTGTTCAATGTTCATGCATGTTGGGGATACAGCACAATTCAATGGGGGATATCAGTAAGGCAGTTTCAAAACAATCCACAAAATCTAAATCTAAACAAATATGAAAATAAATCATGCAGCGGGACTTTTTAATAAAATGAGACAAGTAACAGCTAACTAATTAAAATGTTTTAACATAAAGTAATAAATTAAAATAATGTTGGATCTCATCAGTACAAAAACATGTTAATTTATCTTATAACGATTTTAAGTAGAATTTTATAACATGGAATAAAGTCAAAACATAATTCAACTCATACATGCATAAGGGATTCTCCTTATATTTGAAAAAGTTTATGTTATAGGGACATGTTGTAATATAAACCTCTGGACTACCTGGAGTGACGAGATTTCTCGTCACCTCAGATATGACCTTGAAACCCAGAATGACGAGAAATTCCTTCACAACATTTTTCACTAATATTGCTCTTATTTGAACAATTGTCATTCAATTTACACAAAACTTGTTTTAAAATGTATAGAAATGATCTCTGCCATCTAATTTACTAAGTTGAACATCTAAAGGTGTATAGGTATTTTTTTAAATGTCAAAAGGTGGCAAAAATGAAAAATTCTCTGGTTTCAACCGATTTTAGAGCCTGGGATTCAAGAGGTTAACAAGAAAGTGTACTCTTAAAAACTTCTAACAATGGAAAACATGCTAAATTCTAACAAAAGTGGAACAACCAAAAAATAGTAAGAAATCCAATCTCCTTTCTGAAGATTTACCTTATTGCGCTGTAAGGGCTTTGAACCAAGTCGTTTACTGGGAGAGCTTGTTGCTAGTTGCCCATCCTTAGTACAGAAGAACACAAAACACAACACATATATAGTTAGATTCAGGCTCTCAGAAGGTTGATATATTGTAAATAAAGGTCAGGCTTTCTCAGTAATTTCTAATAGAATTATTTGTTAAAAACAGCATGTGGCAAATGTGCTGATTCACTGGTTAACAGTGAATTATTGTAAAGATTTGCTCAGGATACTGTTTGGAATGAAGTCAAATAAATCTGAAAAACTATCCTCACACATCCCATCATATGAAGAGTTCAAATGGGGGCTAATTTTTGACAAATCATTATAATTTAATGTGTGACCAGGCTATTAAAATCATGCGGTACTAACTTCGACCGTTAATTTGAATTTTTGACCTACCGGATGTTTGAAAATCAAGGATTACGAGTCTCATACTGCACTGTTTTTCTTCAAACTTGTTCCATTCAAAGCATAACAAAAATCCCTTTCTGTTGGTACATTATTCTCCAAAACAGAGTCCCTACTTCCAGAGCATTTTGGTCCCCAGCTGTAAGAAGGCCTTCTAACAGCTGGGGACCAAAACGCTACTAGAACGAGGGACTTTTTACAATAAAGTAATGCATCGACAGAAAGGCAATTTTGTTTTGCTTTTAATGGTATAAGTTTGAAGAAAAACGGTGCAGTATGAGACTTGCAATCCGTGATTTTCAAGCATCTGGTAGGTCAAAAATTCAAATTAACGGTCGGAGTTAGTACCGCGTGAAAATGTATGATTTTTCTACTTTTCTCTTTAAATTCCCCAAAAAAGCATGAGCTGTCCATATTAAATTTACATATATATCAACTTTCATTAAGAACAATAAATGAAGCATTTTACTCAACCCATTGAAATTACATTAAACTGACAAGTACACACATACTAAAAAATAATGTAAATGATTCATACTTTTTTTATAGGGATTCCAATTGTTTTGTTCTTCAAATATTGCCATTTGCGCATTCCCATAAATATTTTGGGATACCTCAGTTCATGTTTGCGTATGTGTGAATGTACATATTCCAATAGGTTGAGCTTCATACAGGATTAGAAAATGATATAAAGCAGGGAACCATTTGTTTGTTTGTTACATTTTGCATGTAGAAAATATTATAAAAGCAAAACAAAAACTGTAAAGTATGTCCATGCAAGAAGATTTCATTCTGTTAAACTATAGAAATGTGCTAAAACATGTAAATGCCAAGTGTTTATGTTAAATATAACAATGCAATATATATGAACCAGTTCACCCCTATATTATTTGTTGAAGTTAAAAAAGAAAATATTGATATTCATCCCATCACAACATTAAAATGTCACATTAAAGCATCTTATCTTAATACTTATGTCACGATAAAGCATCTTAAAGTAAAAACCTTTAATTCTTATCTCCAAATTATGTGATGCTTTATCCAGTGAACAGAAACTGTTAAAACAGTGAAATGAAAAGTTTTAGTTATTGTTAAATGTAGTGGCAGAAATGTTGGCCCTACCTTCAATGAGATCAATATGGGGTCTCTGTTCTGTCCGCTGATCCACTCATCAGCTGTCAGAGAGGGGCAAAGACTGGCTGTGGGAGGGAAGATATCATCTTGGAATATTTCAGACTGAAACAAAATGGACATAATCAACAATTATTTTGAATTGTGATACATATATTCACTTTAGACTAAGTCCTGCATTTTAAATGAGCTTGTTGCAATATTCAAATAATAGATGACAGCACTTGTCTTCTGAAGAATTAAAATTAGAAACATGTTTTCCAAATGCATAAATCAACCCCTGCCCTGCCAATCTTTGATATTAAAATATTATCAATTATCTTTTCTTGAAATCCAAAATTGTTTCATATATTTGTAAAATAAAGTTATTTACTTTGCGTGGAACTATCATGGATATAGGTTCAACCAGGCCTTTGGTTGAATGCAGTTTGTAGAAACGAACAATTTCACACTTAAATGGGTCACAGCCTCTCTTTGGCATCAACCCTGAAAACAAAACAAACAACATTTGCAGATGCAATATTAAACAGGTGAATCTATTAGTGATGTGCCAATCTCTTTCAATATTAATTTATTTAATCATTCTTTATAATTTTTATTCATTCCTTTTAATAGGACCATATAGTTAAACATACATTTCATGTAACTTTCATTTAATATGACTTAACACTATAAATGTAACTACACCACATACATGTGAATGTGACTTTACCTTATGCATGGGACTACACAATATACATTTGACATTACACCATATACATGAGAATACACTCTATTCATGTGACTACCATTAATTGAAACTACCAACCTAATCCTTTCTGAGGTGAACCTGACTGGTACTGACTGAGATAATGGCAATATGGCTGCTCATCTGTGATCTCAAAGTAACGAATGTTTCCATCACCCTGAAAATAAGACAACATAGATTTTGTATTGCTTTAAATCCGAAGAACATTTTGAACAACTTTTACATTGTACCTCATTCAGTCTTGCATAATAGCTTGAGTACCCTATATCTATGTATTTCCCAAACCTTGAGATTTGGGGGAAGAAAACACAGGGACATTATTTAAAGATTGATATTGATGTAATTTGAATTGGCCCATATAAGATTAACTTGAGAAATGTACTGAAACAATAAGTTATATGAGAAACACAAACAGACTCACCTTCCCAGCTACAAAAACTACTCTAGTGTCCTGGTCACAAAATGGAAATAGCACTCCACTAGACGAATCTATAGACTCCATTTTAATAGGTATAGACATATCTTTCTGAAATAGATTTGAAAAGTAAATTTAGTATTTACCATCAATTAATTCACCAACAAATAAATGAGTTTATTAAAAAATGAAGCTTAATATGAAGAATTGTTTAAATCAACAGAGTCCTATTATTAAGGCCCTGAGGAGACTTGAGGAAAGGAGGTACTTACTATATCCCATACTGCAAATTGTCGATCACTCACTTTTGAGAATCCTGTAGTGAACAGTTTATTATTACCTACAAAACACAATTTCATGGCCTTGGGACCAAGGTGACCCATACCCTCCTGAAAGAAAAACAAATATGTAATGTAAAATGTAAAAGTATTGAAAGAGGTGTAGTGGTTAACTTTCAGCCAATAATTTTTGGTGGCGGTCAACGAATAAAAACCAAAATTTAACACATCATATGATATACATCTGTACAACATTATGTCAAGTTCTCGGAACATTTAAAAAACATGTTGCTGTAATTAAAGAAAATGAACACAATAGATTGCATACAAATTTTTTTAGCTGTCATTATGTAACATATTCAACTTACCCCAACTACCTCTCCACTTCGTGGATTAATCACACGAACTTTCTTATCTTTTGACACTGTTGCAAAAAGACTACCCTCTCTGTTCCAGGATATTCCAAATATGGTATCTGTATGAACTGAGATTATATTGATTGGCTCAGCTGTTTCTGTATTCCACAGGATACACTGGAAATATCATTCAAATATTATTCTTTAAGAAACTTCAAATTAATCATTGTCAAACCAAAGATTCATGCTAAAAGGTAATAGGCGTGACATTCATGTAGGTGTGTTACCCTAGTATTTGATCTTTGCAGTGGCTTTCTTCAGAATGTACAGGGTGTTCACTATATAAGCTATTCAAAAAGCAAGTCCATAATGTAAAGCCTTATGATTTAGACTTAATATTGGGGTTACGTTGATATGTTGAGAAATAAAACATTGGTACATCTTCATGTCATAAATCCATTGAATGACCTACCCTAAAATCATATCCTGCGCTAAGTATGATGCCCTCTGCAGTTGGATGCCACTCTATGAATCCAACCCTTCGTTGGTGGCCATGTAAATCAACCAACCAATCAGAAAGGTTCTCTTTAAGTCCATCTTCAGGAATCTGCCATATTTTCACCTAGAAAACAAAACATTAATCTTATGTCTACCATCCTTTGAAAACTTAAAATAAGTTTTAAATTGTGATCAACATATAGTATGTCAAGTACCCTTTGCATTCGTTTGACTTCACTTCTTAAAAGAGAGCTTCGTCTTGTAGTTTAACTAGACTCTGCACGCAGGGTATGTGTCAAGTGGTGCCAAACTAAAGAATAAAGGATGTTGAACAACATGTATGTACTAAAACATATCTGCACATATAAAATGTTAACACAAAATATTAAACAATTATTTCAATCTCTTCATCCTTGGGGTGAGCTTAAAACAGAATTATGAGCAGGATAGTTTAAAAAATTGAAATTCTGGGTTTACAAATTTACTGCATAATTTTTAGAGTAAGATCTTGAAATATTATTTACTGTACATCCCTCAGAGTATGGGGCTTTAATATAAATTAATAGTACAATAATGTCATTTTGAATATGGATCGCCACTATGACGTCACATATTGCTCAGGTCGATATAGTAAAATGAATGCCTTCTAAACTAGAACTAATACCCCTAGAACTGGCCCGGCAAGGTGGTAATAATGTGCAATCATTTATGACAAAATGATATGATATGAGTACAACTATACTTACTGTAGCATCATCAGAGCAAGATGCTATGATATGATCACTGAATGGACTCCATTTGACATCCAAGACTGGCCCGGTGTGACCACAGACCTTGTGAGTGTTAATGTCAATGCGACCAGTCTGAAAATGACACAATTAATACAGATTAATGTATGATGCCTTTTATTGAGTAAGTATGGGAACATGTAACACTTTGGAAGGTACAAGGTATACTCTTAGGAGGACACAGTATTATACTTCGGGAGGTACAGGGTTATACTTAGGGAGGTACAGAGTTATACTTTAGGAGGTACAGGGTTATCTTTTAGGAGGTACAAGGTTACACTTTGGGACAGTAAATGGTTATTATACTTTAGGAGGTACAGGGTTATCCATTTGAGGTACAGGGTTATACTTAGGGACAGTAAATGGTTATAATACTTTTGGAGGATACAGGGTTACACTTTACACTTTGGGACCAATGCCTGACATATATACTGGAACTATATTATCTAAATCTTAGAAGTCATAACACTATAAATGATTAGTACATCAAAAATATGGCATGATATTCTGGCAGTGATTTTGATACTGAGTACAGTACCCTTACAATAGTGACAGGAAAACCACAAAACAATATATATTCATCTGAAAACATCTGTGCATACGATCAACACTAGTAAATCACAACTTGTCAATTTTTAATTTCTTCATGCAGACACATATGATATGTTAGTACATGTATATCGTTATAATGATGACCCTTGTAGCACATGTGGATCACTTAATTAACAATCACATGTCCTTAGAATAGCTATAATGTTCAGCTAAATATCGATATTAATCACTGAGACAACATTCTGTCATTCTGGTATTGTTTATAGCATTCCAGCCTCCTTCATTCCTCATAAGATCATAATAATTAGGGAGTACAGTGACTAGTCATCCATTCAATTTAACAGATTATCCATGCATAATGTTACAACTACAGTATAACCTGTGTATACTCAACATTTTTTTCCAAAAAAGTGTGAGTAGGTATTCACTACAGAAAGGGTAATTTATTTAGAAGTCAGTAGAGTATGTGATGAGGAAGGGTCTCCACTTGAGACAAGTGTTCATTTGAATTTGAGAGAGGTGTTCATAAGACAGTATACTGTACCTCTAATATCATTATCTATAAATCCTTTCTATTAATTTAATATCACATGATCTTTAATAATAAATGAGAGATGTTATTTTACCTTCTCTATAGGTAAGATGATAAAAGCCCCTCCTCCAGCAGATTCTGTTACTACAGCCAAGAATTTTGGATTCACCGCACAAAAATTAGCGTCATGAGCATTTTTGGTAATTTTCACATTCTCGTAACAGAACTCCTTCTTGACTGGGTTCCCGTAGACGTGCCGGAACTTGGAGCTCCGCACACGGAACGCCATCTGAAAACACAAAACAAGTCATTCAAAATATTTCAAAAAAATCGTCAATATTTTGAGGGATGTACTGAAAGTTCTGTTTTCAAATGCTGCCATTCTTTATACTTTGTCTGAAAATGATATCAATTTTTGAGTTTTTAACTTGAAAATACTTATATCTTATTTTTGTTTATATTGAATACAAATATGCATTTATCAAAGATCATAAAACTGAAGTCAAGCTGCCTCGTTTATAGTGCTACATATTCATGATTAATTGTTATCTTTGCAAAGTCACTAAGAGAACTACTAAAACCATCGAGAGAAATTCTGAATGAATGATCCCAAGGTCATGCAAATCATGATATCTTAATTGGGTGTTTTCAACCTACGATAATAAACCACAAAAACCAACCATTGATTTTTGATGCAAAAAGCCAATATCAGTATGATACACAGCCGCAAGAATTGTCTCAACTTGGTCTAATTCATATCCTTATTGACCTGGTTTTCTTGCGGCTATGCCAAAGACTGTTTCTAAACACCCAATAATATATTTTCAAACGATGATGTGGAAACTGTATGCAACATTCAAAAATTACTGTTGGTTAAATAAAAACCAAACCTAATAATTATATTGAATAATATTATGAATGTAAAACAGAATAGATCAGACAGGTATATGCCAAAAAGCATTTAAAGTTGTCATATTTGGAAAATGTACAAAACCTGATAGATCCAAACAGAGATACATGTTATTATGATAAAATGCAAAAACATTGCCAAGATATATTAAAGTATACTAAGTTTTGACATGTTGAATGCCTATCTATATTATTAGCAATGACATCAGACATATTATTGTAATCATGGGGGTAGGGCCAAAACTAGTAAATATATAATAATAGATATAATATACAGTAAAACCTGTGAATATGAACTCAAGTTTTATATAACTGGACTAGTTGCTATTTAGTTTCTTTATCAACTCATGTTAAGCAGATACGATTAAAAAAGTCACTGTAAACAGTGTATAATAGCCACGTTTGACAGGTTTTACTGTATAAAGTATATGTTTTACCAGGTGAAATTATTCCATTAACTGTTCACCACTATATGTAAAATACAATTCGAACATGACTGTATTCAAGCCTTCTATAAGCTGAAAACAAAGTCAATATTTCACTAGGTTATATTCACGAACAATACCCCTGGTGATTCGAGTAATGTGTGACTTTATAACAGTTATAAGAGCACACCAATATTCAAAACATTTTGATGAATTTTCATGTTCGAATCGTAATATAGATCTCAGAGGATACCTTAGGGCTAGGCACAAAATCCTTCGAACAACTCACTTCCTCCAATTGTGCGGGGTACAGAAAACATTTGTGCCTAGCCCTGCAGTCTGTATTCATCGATATAACACCTGCTCTTCGGTCTATATTTCTTAAATACAAGGTATGACGTGATAATGAATCACAAAACAGTGAAGAAAATAAAGAAAACCACCCCACAAATATGAGATAAAGTGCCAATTCATACCCATAACCAAAACCAGTATACATATTGTATATATTAATATGATTAACAGATCCACACATTTCTCTTCAAAGTTGTTGTGTTAAAGTGTTTCCTAGAAACAAGAATTTATGCACATATTTTGTAAACATGCAACAATTTCATATTTCAGTCATTAGAAGAATATCACAGAGATGCAGTGCATTCTGGGAGTATCATACTACCTCTCCACTAGACATGATGGATGACTCTGTATTTCTATGCTATCATGGCAACAGAAGATGCTAAATAAACTGAAAAGATAAATGTAAAATGCTACAAAATAAACAACATATATATTCATGTCTTTATCGCTATTATATATGAATTATGAAAACATGATATTATACAAACCTTCTTTTATACCTTTTTAAAAACCTTTTGAAGAACAATGCTTAGTAGGATAATCATATATCCTTAACTGAATAATAGGACCGACAAGAGATGGAATTATTATCTGATACTTTCTGAAACAGTCTTCCTTAATAAATGATTTTTACTAGATTTAATATTGTTTTTGAATTTAACTTGCAATATATCTCCATATAAGTTTTGAAAGCAAGTTCCAAATTCTCCTGTGCCATCCCCACAGTATAACAATCATGGTTTAACATCAATCCAGCAACACTAGCCTCTAACAACTGCAGAAAATTTGACCATTGATGATAAGATCATATATTAAAGAGTATAAATGAAGACCAGTTCTTAGAAAGGGTTATTACTTTCTTTTCGTTATTGAGTCCTTACTACCCTGAGCACAAAGTTTAGTTCTTAACTCACTCTGAAAACATTCAAAAGTTTAAGTTTCTAGAAAATTGTCCTCCCAGAAACGACAAGCCTTGATTATCTTGGCAGGATCTGAGTCTTCAAGAGTAGATAAAGCTATCTTTTAAGGTTTTAAGTCAAACGAATGCAAAAGGTAGGATGTCACCTATATTCTGAATATAAAATTTCAGCTATATTTATTGCAAGACAGAAGACAGGCACAGTTGAGCGACCCCTTTTTTCTGCATAATAACAATGTGAACAGAGCAGAATTTATCAGCAGATGACATGTGAAAATCAATACTCCTCTGTATTAATAGTATTTATAGATCCTATTCTACTCTTTATTCAAGATCACTGTCACATTTATTCACAACATTTTTGTATTAGTTCATATAGATGTAAACTATCACCCTAAGCCCTCTTCTCTAACCATCATCATTCCCCCATGCCCCTTGGTTGTAAGATCTTCCCCCACCCTCCCTTGTGTAACAGCATAATGTCATAAGATTTGAAAAAGACTGTTCCACCTTATGATACAATAACTTGACAAAATTTAAGACTGGTCAGTTGTCTTCACAGTCGAACAGGTTCACCCCCCTCCCTGAACCATATTAAGGTCACCTGGATAAATAAATATATTTAAATAACCTATATTATGTGTGTATTAAATATCTAGTCTTTAGGACTTTATTGCATTCTACTATATGTTGTAGCATTTTGTAGATTTATACAGTATACATGCCTTTTGATGGTTGTTTTTATTAAGTTCAATATATACTGTATTTTAGTTTTCTGATTTATTTCTATATCTTGATAATGTTGTTAACTGTTAAAACCAATAATCATTTATAAAAAAGAACAACCTTAAGAAAGTACATAAACATAGTAGCTGCAAACCAATATATAAAGCAGCATTTAAACCTACTAAGTTAGACGACATGTTTTTGTTTGATCTGACATTTTTTCAAAATATTTCACAATGACAAAAATGAAACAGAATGTTTAACACAAGTGATAAAAATTTGAGCTGAATGGAGTTCTAGATTTGTCATATATCGTTTAAAATCGCATCTATCTTAATATCAAAGTAAACATAATCAAAATAGATGAGAAGATATAGATTACACACGGCAAGCTGTGAGCAGCGAAAAAGTTGGAAGTTATAGTTGACAACCCTGAACATCAAAAACTGTGCACAAACAGAAGTTCTCTTGTTTGAATGTGTTTTATTTTTAAATAATTATTGCTTTAGGTAAAATAGGAGGTAACCAACTAAACTGGGCAATTTGACCTTTTTTCACCTTTTCAGTTCAATGACAGTTTCTATTGCATTAGGATGAAATAGAATCATAAATCTTACAATTCATGATCATGTATGACGCCTAGTTGTTTAGGATTGAATTTGTCAAATGAAAATTACTCTGAAATCTTAACATTCTCAAATGTAAAAGGAATGTAAGCAACTCACCGCCATATGAGCTAAAAATATTAAAGTAATTTACACAATGGTGAAATGACCACAATATGGACTACATGCAATAACGTGCAATAAAATACAATACTCTATAGATAACTGTACCTTCAAAAATTCTGTGTGCTTCAATATCTCTGTAAGAATGTATCCAAAATGAGACGCTTGTGTTGTGCACAGTTTAATGCTCTGCTCCGCAAGCTAAAAATCCATATCTCACTAATAAATCTTGGTCTATGTCATATCTATCCCTTTGACTCTATACAGATTAGGAAAAGTTGGCAAATTAACTAGAATATTGTTAGCTATAGCAGTTAGTTTAACTGCCAATCTGCAGCTATCATCAGCAAGTGGCAGATATTCTGATGTTGTATTCCTTCTATCAGCAGTGAACAATAGTAAATCTCCTGTGATTGTTCGATTATACTCCTGGCCAAAATTGATATGGGACGAGCCTTCACAGTAAAGCTCTTGAGGAAATTAGGTTACGTTGTTCGGCAATGTTCGCCATTGGCAATTCTCCCACTCCATGTTCAATTTTACATATGACACAATTAGGCTAATACTGAAATGTCTTACAACAAACAGTTACCAAGAGCTACTAAATTAAAAAATTTCATGACAATCCTCACATGCTCAAATCCATTTTATTACCCTTTTAGAAAAGTAACTAACTTTGTCCTATACTCTTCATATTCATGATTATTATCTTATTAATAACTCTTTTAGCCAATCAGAGCCTGTCTTCTATCAACAACAAGTCATACGTAAACATAACAGCAGGACTATATGATGCTCTCTGATTGGTTTAATGCAAATCAGTTAATAATCGATCTTAACCAGAGGCTAGTGCACCAATTAATGATCCAAGGGTAACGATCAGTGTTTTACCATTATTGTATATATGTAAGGAAGTAAATCTCATTTTAGTGATAAGATAGTGGTCCCATATGCTACATAGTACTATAGGCCACCTGGAGCACAATACTACAATACTTGTAATAACAATACTTGTTTACCAAATGAAATAATATTAATATATTTAGTAATTGTCTCCTCGTTATTGATAGATGACAGTTTCTCTTGGTTGTATCATGGATCAGTTAGTGGGGGAGGGGGTCTTGTTATGTAGAAATAAGTAGGCCTCTGTTTTTTTGTTTTTTTGTTTGAGATCATTAAACTATATAGCCCAATATGAAGAATGAAACTGAAAAAAGATAAAATT